TATAGTAATAAAAAACATGGAGGAGTTACAACAATTTAACCAAAAACTCTATAAGGTAGTATCACAATTAGCAGAATTAAATAGGAATTTTAAACAATGTCTATATACTTTAGAAAGAGTTATAGGTATATAGGAAGAGAGAATACAATTTCTTAAAGAAGAGTTAAATAATGCTATTGAACTTTTTACACAAAAGAAAGAAGAATTAATAGAAAAAATTTCAAAATTAAAAAGAATAGTTCACTAACTCAAGGAAGAAAATAAAAGAAAAGACAAAAAAATTTCTAATAAAGATAAAGAATTCAATGAACAAGAGACAAAATTAAAAAACTAAATATGGGAAATATCCAAATCTGCGGGCAATACTCCCAAAGCACAAGATTATACAACTAGATTAGTAGATGAAAATAAACTGCTTAAATGAGAAATAAATACAGTAAGAACTAATCAAATAAATAGGATTAACAAAATAACTCAACAAAAAAACTATATTACAGACCTTCTTTGTCAAAATTTTGCATTAGCATTATTGAGATATCAAGATAAATTAGAACTTATAAATACCCAAGAGGCTTTACAAAATGCGCAAGCATGGAATTTTAATGAAAACAAATCTGACTTTAATAAAAATTCTTTAGATATTTATAATTTTAATCAAAATTTAGATATAGGTACAATAGCTAAGTTAGCTGATGCTATAGACTATCCCTAAATAATATAGCAATATGTAGAACTGTTTTAACAAATCAAATTAAAAGATCAACAAAATCAATCTGATGTAAATACACTAACCTATAACAAGATCTGGAAAACGTATGATGGGACCAAGATACATATAGGCAGGAGTAAGATCAGGCATTGCTTAATCTTTAGCAGTTGTGAACTAATACTCAAAATCAAGTAAAGAGAATATTAGACAATATAATAGAAAAGCGAACCTATATTGGTATATTACTACAGGAAAAATTTGCTTTACAAATTTTATATCAATGAAATGCCCACTATCTACAACAATGCAGAGCCGATAGAGGTTTGTTAGAATATAATCAAGATAGGTTATATGAACAATATAAGAAGTGGAAAAATAAGACTTATGCAGAGCACCAGAATATTTTAATTTTAAATCAACAAATTTTGATGCTTCATAATAATCCACCAAATCAAATAAACATGGCTGATACTAGATATTTATTAGTATTAAAATTAATGGCTCCTGCTCTTGCAAAATTTTTACCTTATATGGGCCAAGAACCACCTAATAATTACTTGAATAAAGTTATTCAATCATGAGTATATCTTAAAAGGCATATGATGGTTCTTGAGAATACAAATACAGGAGATTTTGACAATGCGGTCAAGTGTAATATTTTAAAATCTATGATGGGTAGAAAATATGTTTCAATACCAGCAAATAATAATCTTGTAGTAGGAAATCTAGCTATAAATTCTCTAGATACATTATAGGCTTGGATAAGAGCAAAAAATTAGCGAGAAACTGTTGAAAATCAACAATCGGCTATTCAAAGATTGACTCAAGAAAGATATTAGCCCTACAAAACTCCTAATACCTATGAAGCCAGAATTCGACCACTATTATTAGAAGTAGCAGACAATGATACACAAGTTTTGGGATTTCTTAAAAGTAATTTAACAGGCAATTTTTATACTTGGATGAGAATTGTTAATTCTGCAGGCATTAATGCATTTTTCACTAAACTAAAAAATATGTAGCTAGAGCATAAGCAAAATTTGAGTGGAAGAATCTCAGAGGAATCAAGTCAAATTGCCAATCAAGTCCAAGCCTTACCTAGTATAAATCTAGTATTCTATTCTTTACCACTAGTTACTCCAGCTCCTCAACAGCAAGGAATTTCTTTAGAAGATATGCAAAAAGTAATCCAGAATGTACTAGCACAACAAAAAACTGAAAACCAGACATTAGTAAAGAAAGTTACAGAATTAGAATCTCAAATGGCTAAGCAAACTGCTCCTCAAACTGTTGAACCAGTTAGACAGCCAAGAGGTCCACCGCCTTCATTACAAACGGAAAAAGGTATGGAAAATTATCGTTTATCACAATACTTAAATAATTTAGGTATATTTAGTACAGAAGATTTAGAGAGAAATTATCCTATAAAGCCTTTTCAAAAACCTCGTCCGGAACGAATATATTCATCAAACCAGAATGCTAGAATAGATAGAATAGAATCGAAAGTAGATGAAATCGGTCAAATGACATCTCAATTTGGGAGGATGATGCTTGAAAATCAATCCAAAAAACCCGTAGCTAAATCAAATTTAACACATCGATACTTTCTTCCTCTAATACCTTCCCAATCCCAATATGCATCTCCCGATTCAGATGATAATGAGGATAGTGAAGGTGAATATAATGAGGAAGAGAATAGATGGCATGCTCCATCTCAGTTAGAAAAAAAAAACAAGTACCGGTAAATGAAAAAATACTTCCAGAACTTAGTCAGCCTGAAACATACGATGAACTATTACCAAAGCTTTCACCGGCAATGCGTAAAATGTGTCAGTCTCATATAGTCCAGGAAAAAGAATCAAAATCAGATGAATGGTTTTCGTCATTGCAATACTTGCATTGTAATATAAATGATCTATTGATCACTAATTCCTTTTTAGATAGCGCAAGTGAATTTGGGGGAGTGAATGATGCAACAATTAACGCCCTGGGGTGGAAAGCTGATAAGCCTTCTGACTTTGC